AACATTTAATTGAATATTATAAAGGAAAGAATTTCTTGCGGTAGCAACGTAAACAAGATTATAATCCATTCTATATGCAAGAGTATTGATGGTCCGAAAGTGAGGATAACAATAACAAACCAACATTTTTAGCTAGAGCGAAAGTGAGGATAGCAAACTAAGCATTTGAAAATGGGATTACACAAGTGTTCGAGTTATCAACGTTAGAAATGTCAATTAAAATAAATATAAGATCGATCATTCTCTTAAGATTTGTCGCTAGAAAAAAGTTTCTGAAAGTCGACAAAGACAATATGTCCATATTACTTAGGACCTAATGAAATGTTCAGTTTGAATTGTTCCGCTTAGCTGTAGCAATCTAAATAGATGAAGAGAATCGATCATTTTTGAACGATCACTGTCGAATTTCAGTACCTAGCACTGAACAAAAATAATCGACGGTTCCTCTATTTATGCTAAGAGATAAGCATTGTAAGTCCCTCCAACTTGGATAATTACGCAATCGAACGGCTTGCTATGCCTCGGCTCCATCAGCAAAAAAATTGGGATTATATAAACCATTCTATAGCATAATTTTCCAATTAGGATGGACTTTCATAGCTTATCTACAGACACCGTCTGATAATTTCAGTGCTTGGTACAGAAATCTGTAATCTGTGTTGGGAAATACATTTTTTTCCCACCACAGAAACACCCCGTTTTCTTATGCAAAACAATGGATGGCGTTCACTTAACGCCAGAAATCTTAAAAAAAGCAATATTTAGTTTTTTTTTTATTCAATCAATAGATTAAAGATGTACCGAGAATTAAATGGAGGGATTTCAAGCAAAAATGTTCTGATCGCGAGATATTCAAGATCAATACCAAAATTTCGCATAAATGCCCAACCCGTTTTGTGTGTGTGCTACTGATTTTCACTGTTGCCCAATGCTTAGGGAACTTTCATAAATAACGTAGTAGTTTAATGGGGAAGAGGGGGGTTTCAGAAGTTGTGACCGGCCATATATTGTAATTTTACTTCAAAGGCTGTGTCCTAATAGACGAGTGCACTTGTGAAATTTAGTTCATCTACTGAAAAAAAAAATGACACAAGAGCGGGGTCCTGTTTATTAAAAATGAACACATGAATAATGCTCGCATAACATTTGAAAAGGGATTATCAATTTTTGTACACAACTTGCTAGGTCCTTTTCAAGTGAACCGAAGTACGCTCACGTAAACCAAGAACAATATCGGGAAGGGGAGAATTTCTCCTACCCGATGATGTTGTTAGTATGCCTGGGCTTATTCGGTTCGCGCGAAAAGGGCTTAACATGTTTTGTGTACAAAAGTGTATACGCGCGTTTCAAATGTTCCACGAGTATTATTCATGTGTTCATTTTTAGTAAACAGAGCCCCGCTGTTGTGTCACTTTTTATCAATTGAGTGAACTCAAACCCATCCGTGCACTCGTCTATGGGCGAGTTAAATTTAACTCGCGATTAAAAGTGACATGAGTTATCGAGATGAGTTATAACTGTCGAAATGTCACGTTTAACCACGAGTTAAATTTAACTCGACAATTGGGACACAGCCCCAGAGTATTTCTGGATTACTTTTTCGAAGGCACGTATCAGCTTTTGTAGACAACGCATTTGATTGTCAATTTGGCGTAACTGGTAGCGCTCATCCACGCATGCTAACATTACCATCAGATAGGGTAAATTTTCCCCAACCTGATATAGTGGTGTTAATAGTTATGCGTGGGCGAGCTATCAGTTACGCCAAACCGACGATAAAATAATATGCGTTGTTTTCAAAAGCTCATTTGTCCTTTCGAAAAATTAATCGAGATTTGTAGAACGCGGGATCGTTTTCATTAAGGCCTGCCACTTCGGAGCAGGGTTGGCAAATGTCATTTTCAATGAAATATCCCACGCGATATTTACAGAGATACTTCTGTCACTATCATTGGATGAGAAAACGATGATAGAGATTTTTACAAAATCTCATCGAATTTTTCGTCATGACAGAACGTGACAGTGTTTGCTTAAATTCATCTAAATCAGTTAGAAATGTTGATATCAAAACCGCATAAGAATTATTCTCATGAGTGCTTGAAAAATGACAAGAACGCTAATGATAGGTAGTTTCGTCTCGTGATAGTGAGAGGACCTGTTTTCTCATCGTCACATGACGGCCGCGATATTTACCAGCTCTGCTTCGGAGCGATTGCGTCTGCAGCCAGAGATCTCGACGGGAACGACACGCAAGGTTCGAGGTGCAAAACTCAAACACTGCACGCTTGACAGGAACCGTTGCCGTCCTACTGCTGCTGCTACCTCCTCACCCGCCGTTCGAAGTGAAAATGAGTTGAGGCATAAAAGCAGCGCTTTTCAGATTCAAGCAGCACGATGTGCAACCAAATGGTACTCGATTATGACGACTGGGTTTGAGGAGAACGTTTATTTCATGAAAACAGTGATACAATTATCACATTTTAGTTGTACATTTTTCAACAGTTTTTTATGTAAAATTGAAAAAAGCATTTATTATAGCAGATTTTGAGAGTCCTGTCCTATCGATTGGTGTATTTGGATTTTAATTTCATCTATAAATGACAAAGTTATAAGCGTTCAAAACCTTACACCTTTTCGTGACGGTTGCAATTTTAAATTTTCGGTTTACCCGCAGTACCTTCCTGTAAGACGTAGTCTACGTCAAATCAAATAACTCTTAGTTCATCTAATGTAATGTATTAATAACTGGCTCTTTTATTTCGTCAGGTTCATCGACCAATTCAATGGATTAATTAATCAATGAAACACTGTCTACAAAATAATCATTAAACTTAGATGCAATTACTTGTTCTGACTGTTCTAATGTGCCATTAAAAGTTATGGACCGCGGTTTGCTATAACTAGGTTTTAATAAAGATTGTCCATAACTCTTTGCTGTTGTTTTGATGCTGATCAATCTTCCTTTGAACATATTCACAACGAGTTTTCTTTATCGATTGTGAAAACTTATTACACGCGATTGTGTACCTACTCCAATGATTGTCATTATTTGATCTCCCGTCAATCTTTTGGATTTTGCGTTGTTCCGGATTTTTATTTTAACAATAAAGTGATATTGGTGACAAACGGATGCTTGAATTTCCTGAATCGAGTTCCACAGTGAGCGGATTGTGTCGGATGGCCAAGAGGTGTTTCAAGACTACATTCGGGACATTCCGTACAAGTTCTACCACAAACCGGATTGCCTCGTGAAGCGAATTTTTTACAATTGTGACCCCTCTAACACATCAGGCCAGCTTATTGGGTTCACTTGGCCAGATTTGGTGAGTTCGTTTCATTTTGTCCTTTATAATACTTAACTTCCGAATACTAGTGATACTACAAACATTTCCAACTCAATAAATACGCGTCAATCAAGCAATACAGCTTGATTGAAAGTTTCAAAACATTATTAATGATTCCCACATTGAAATGTATTGGAGCGGGGCTTATCGTATACGAAAATAGCTTCGGAATGCTTGCGTTCTTGAAATGAGTTAGAGTTGCGATAGAGCGTCACCTTCTAACTTCCGGATTTAAGCTTCTCGCAATTATTTATATTAAAGATGGTTGCAGGAGGATTCCATCCATAATGCCACTGCCAGTCAGTGGGAGTTAGATTGTAAATACGTAAATCTCATAGATTTACGCGATATCCCTAATAAAAAATTTATGATTATTTTGCTTAACGACGTGTTGGGGGTATCTTCCAAACCATTTGTGGAATAGTTTAATTATTTGGATTGTCATTCGTTTATGGTATTGTTTATTAGGGATATGACACTCCAATTTTGTGCATCATTGTAACATGATTTCACACTATTTTTTCGAGCTGTGTGAACATTAAGATTACCTACACCGCATGAAAAATTCATGCCAATTTCTGCGATACACAGCGCACACATAGTTAACACTAGATTTGGCTTAAATTTACACGGTATTTCATGTAAATTTAAGGGCAATATCGCATAAATCAGCAATTTGTATACAAGGTTGTAAACAACAACAATAGCTTAAAATTAAACGAGGGGAGATTTTACGTGATGGTAAACATTCAGAACTTGTTCTGTGTAGATAAATCTTCTAGCTCAAACGTTTGCATGGGTAAGTGGCGGGATCATCAACATCATCATCATCAATATTTCCTTCTGCAATATTGTCATTTCAGGGTAAAAACTGACACCCACAACTTGCTAATAAAGGTGATAATCTGACGCCAAATGCTAATTTGTCTTTGAATTGGCAATAACCAAAAGGCAGAAAAGAGAAGTAGGCCACCAGTAGGCTCACCACAGATATACCATATAGGGGAAATGGATGTAATGTCGGCCTAAATACCCCTAATGTGGCCCTTACATAAATTCAGTAATCGACTTAAGTTTTAATAGCGCCAAAAATATCCATTAGTATTGTCCCAATGACACGTTCATTTAGATAAAATTGATAAATAGCAGATTTTTAGCGATGGGGCCAATCCATTATTATGTTATATTATTGAATTTAATGACGCACTTGAAAGTTGGAACTCATGCCTTTTCTTTAGAAGAAGGCATATACACTGCTAGGATTGAATAGAACCAAGTAGAAATTAGTGTTTTATCGAGGTTTTAAAACATAAATAAAACTAAAATTATTTCTTGGGTCAGACTGGGATGAAAATTAATCTGGGCTAACATAAAACCACCGGTACGGTGTCTTGAAATAAGAAGTCCTATGCGTAACGATGATGGCATTTATAGAAGCATTTGCAATGCTGCTGAAGTTTCATTTTTTTTTGTCAATTAACAATTTAATAAACGCACCACGTCAATTCCTCGACTAAATGAAACTGTTTGCGATCAAGATTGAACAAGAAAACCTAAGACGTGCTTTTCTGTCACAACTTCAAGAGCAGTCAATCATCGCGAATTCAGCGAAACTATAGAGAGTAAATCAATAAAACAAACATCGTTCCTACTTACAGCGGTCCCTTGTTGTCGTAATCCTTCCCCGTTACGCAATGAGCAGCCGTGATCACAAAGTTCTTGCTAATCAACGCCCCCCCGCATCCATGGACGATCATTTTGGATTCCCCTACGGAAAGCAAAACAAACAACATCAGTGCATTCTGAGCAACGAACTATTCGGCAACTCACTCAGTTCGTACAACAACATCGCCATCCAGGGAAACTCGTCTATATTTGCTATCTCACCGCCCCGAATCTTCGGCACAAAGCTCTGATAGCCACAGATGTCATCGTCTCCAAATCGCGAATGAACGCGCGTCGAGTTCGTTCGGTTCCGCTTTGGAACAGTCTCATCCAACATTGGCGATCTGTGAGCATCGAAAATAAACGAAAATATGACGAAGGTAATCAAGTTGACCCTTTTGACGCCCCTTGCATCCCCATAACCGGCTTATCTCGGTTGGACTCACTGATAACGCTTCGTTCGGGGACAGCACACACCAACATTTCCTGTAGCACTACACTGGATCTGTTTGAGGAAGCTCAGCCTTCCTACTGAGCTTATATCTTCCGGATTGTTTATGGTTGAATAGGCTGGACACTCGGTTGGTGACCGACAGGTACCCTTACGTGATTCATTCGGAATACTGCACTCTGTTATCACGTCCCAGATGGTATTTACTTCTTCGCGAGCTGTCGATAATCAAAACAAAAAAGTGAAAAACACTCATCAATAATTCACCAAACCGGAAATGCTTCGCATTCGCTTTGTGCGTCATTTCGAATTGGTAGGATCACAGCTGGGTAAGAAACGATGTTCGGCACTAACCTGGCTGAGGCAGCTGCGATGAAGGGGTGATCGAAAGTGTCACCATCACTGTTGCTAGGGTCACAACATTCAAAACTAGGGACCGCATTGCGATCGGTTTGTGGACGGTGATCTTGACCGCGAGATGGTTTCTATGGCACTAATTCAGCGAACTGATAAGTTTCGGAATTTTTTTTATCAGCTGTGAGGCGGGCTGCTACCGATTGACTTCTACTGCTACTTTGGACTGGTCTGTGGATTTGAGCCAAGAATCAGAGGAAATTTGATTAAATGGACGAATGAGAGAAAGAGAGAAAGAGGAAGAGCGGGTGAGCCATGATTGAGAAGTCGAGAGAAGACGATCGGATGACGAGTGCATGATCGGTTTCTGGCGCTCGAGTCAAAACAAATGATCGTTTGCATAGGTGGAGTTAGATCACGGCTGAAGGAGGATGCTTCTAAGTTTTGGAGACGGGTATGGAATCATTTATTGCTCAGTTACTGTTAATTAGAGAATCTGCTGAGTGGTGAGCATTAAGTTCACTTCCATCCAACAAGCTTATCATGCTTCTTTTTAAACAACGGAACACGTGCATCATATAGAACCTACCTACCCGGGAAACCCGATCGAATGTGTTATGACTATGACCAATCGTGATTCATTAAGCATAACACTGTGTATTGTAAATCCACCGTGCAAACCATGTTTAATATGCATATGGAACAAACACTTTAGTAGTTGACGTCGATAGGAGTGGACTGTTTAAATGATAAAGGAGGATTCCAGTCACTGTTCTTCGGAAGTTAGCATGGTGTGAGGGGTCGAGGGATTCATCTGCAAATACCTATGGCTTAAGTTGCAGCAGAACAGTTCAGTGACTGAATGTTATTTCAAAATTAACTTAGTAAAAATCATCTATGATCATTTGGTTTGTTGAAGTAGGAACCCGGAAAAAATATATCAATAAAATATTAATGAAATAACAATAAAATATCAATGAAATAACAATAAAATACAGTAGACTCTATTACCTACATATAACACTTTTTTAATTGTATTGTATTAGTCAAATGATCAAATAGTAACCACAATAAGTTTACAATAAATAAAACGTTATCTAAATTTTAAGTAATAAAACAAAGTATAAAAATTATTATTATTAGATCAAATTTGTTCCTGAAAAATAAAATTATATTTGATTAATCTCGGTCACTAACAACCCCCACTTTTAATACTAAAAATCTCATTCACAATAGATTTTATTGTACACAAAAATTGTTCTTATACATATACTTTAACTATTTTGTTTGTATTACTTCGGCGTGAAGTTAACAATTTACATAGTTGAAGATGCTAATTTCAAATAACATACTAAAGTGGTCATTTTCATACGATACATGAAGAGATGAAAGTATATAGTTGATAGTTCCGTTAGAGTACGGCAGTGTGAAAATTGTGTATAGAGAGTAGAAAACGAGCAAGGACAACTTTGAGGAAGGTACGAATCGGATTCAGAAAGTTTATGAAAACTTCAGAAATATTATAGGAACTTCACAGAAATCCAGAGAATTCCAGGGAAGTTTAAAGGTGTTTATGAGAATTTCATTTACTTGAAAGCAGAACTGAGATCTTCATTAGAAATGAAAATTTTAGGGAAGCTCCGAGAACATGAAGGCAGGTCAGGGAATTAAAGGGCAGTTCAAAAAATTTCAAGGAAATTGCAGAAACCCGGATTTCCGGAAACTTCGGTTTGCTCAGAGAAATTTTCTGGAGCGCAATAAAAATTATATGAACATCCGGAAAATGTGAGAGTATTTCAAGAATATCATGGAAATTTCAAGATCTACATAAAATTTTAAAATTTAGCTAAGTTGATTACAGAACATCAACGAAGTACCATTAAATAAAAAAAAGGTGAGAACTTTTAGCAAGCACTGATATTTTCAAGAAATTCAAGAGACTATGGAACTTAAGGGAAAATCTGAGAACTTCAGGAACTTTTATGGAAATTTCAGGAGCAGGCTTCAAAAACAAAGGGAATTTTAGGGGAGTTCAATTGAATTAGTTTCATTAAATTACCGGGAAATTTCCAGAAGTTCCCAGATTTTCAGAGAACTTTCGAGATGTTAAGAAAATTATTGACGTTTTCACATAATTCCAAAAGTTAACGCAAGCTTAAACATTTTTAGAACAGTTTAATTAAATTCATGGTAGTATATCAAGCTTCATGAGAACTGCAAACACTTTAGAGAAGTTTCGAGAACTTTGAGAAAGATATTGTTCTCGCTAATAATGCTCTAAACAAACAAAAAACTTCTAGACAGAACGGATATCCTCAGCGAAGAGATATTCCAGAGCAGGAAAATTACATAAATTTTAAAAAAGTTTCGGGAAATTCAGTGAATTTTTAACACTTTAGAGAAGATTCATGATCGTTAGGAAAATTGTGGAAACTTTAGGAAGTCCAAAAAAGTTAAGAGAAGTTAAAATAAATGATGAGAAGTATTGCGAGCATCAGGTTAGTTTCTTAAACTACAAAATAATTTCAAGGCAGTTTAATTAAATTCAGGGCTATTTTGGGAACTTTCGAGTAGTTATGAAGACCTCAGATTAGTCCATTTAATATTCAACGGAGATTTCTCATGAAAATTCGCATGGAGTTTACTATCTTAAGCTTAGGCTTCACATGAATGTTTTTCTCATAATTTTTTCCCAGAACTCCTGTGGAATGAGGTCCTTAGAAATTATATCAAAATTCCATGAGCCTGAAAACTGTGCAAGGAATTTGACTCCAGATTTCTGAAAATTTCTTGAAATATTTTAACTTTTCAGTTCAGAATTTATAAATTTATCTATTTGTTATTGAAGATTAATCCATTCTGGATCTATAAAGTTAAATGTGTGAATGAAAATAACTAGGAATATTAAATGTTATTATTTTAAAATGCATTCTTAGTAAGAAATTTATTAAATTTCCTGAGAAATGATAAGATTTTCTGACTTGCCAGGTAGTTTCAGGAGAAATAAAATTCTCTGTGAATTCCCGGTTTTTCATGTTTTTTTCAGGTAGTAGAAGCTTGGAGATTTAGTCATAAACTTGCTGTTGAATCTTTCGCTGTAAATGTTCCTATCGTACATATTTAAGTTTTTATGAGAATGTAATTGCATAAGTCTAAAACATCAAACATTTATTTGGTATGCCATCAGAATGACTAATTTTCTTCCCTTAGGTCACTTTTTTACAACTATAAGTCACTATTTGGGCATTCTTATTTTGATTACCTATCAGTACAAACCCAAAAATCACAACGAACAGTCCTGGAAACGATAATGCGATTATCTTGTGTGGTATAGATCATGATCATATGATCATACCTCCGATCACCATCATCAAGACAAGAAAAATCAAAAAAATCTACAATATGTGTACTTTCGAAACGGGGATGACATATGTAGATCGAAAATCGATGATAGTCGCCATTTTTAAATGCAAGATGGTGGCCATCAGTTCCAGATTTTTTTTTTCAAATACACCACAATAAGGGTAAACCATGGCCCACTTATGGAACAAACTCTTTTGCTTATTACAGCGCTCCTAGCGGACGTTTTCGGAAGCTTTTGACGTATATTTGTTGACAACAACAATAAAAACAACAGTGTATTTTTTCAGTTCATAAAACGCTCTTGCTCTGGAGACAATCACCATGCAAGAGGAGCGTAGAAAAAAATCGCGCTCAGTTACTTGGAAAATCCATCGTGGTGCGCGTCCAAGCTGGCTAAAATGTTGAATTTTCCTACAAACACCGTATGGCGCGTGCTAAAAACGTACAGGGAAACCTTGACGATGAATCGGAAGCCTCAAAGTAAATGCCGGAGTGGAACTGCCAACCGTCAGCTCCATGGAATGGTCGTGAGGTCCATCAGAAGCAATCCAGGTATGTCCGATCGCGATTTGAGTAAAAGTATGATGTCGCCCGTAGTACAGAGCTGCGAAATCGCAACCGCTTAGACTTAAAGGCATATCGCGCCAGTAGGCAACCAAATCGATCACTCAAGCAGAATACCGTAGCTAGAACCCGTGCTCGGAAGCTGTATGACAACCTGCTGACCAAGTCTGGTGGGTGCATACTTATGGATGATGCAAATTTGGCATCGGATGAGATGACGTGAATCCGGAAAGTCTCAACGAATACCTCGCTGTTACCATTCCTTAACGCATCTGAGTCCACAGACGGTCATCGGAGTCAGGTTCTCAGTATTAGAAAGTACTTGTCGTTCAAGGTTTATCAGTTGTTCTTCTGGAGCGACTCACGTGACGTCCTGTGTTGGATCCGGTCAGACCATCGACGGTATTCACAATTCATTGCATTCTGTATCAGTGAAGTTCTGGAAATAACGGAAATAGTGGACTGGGGTTACAAACGGTCGAAGGAAAATTTTCGCCGACGATGCTACCAAGTGGAAGGGGGTGCCAGACCTCACCGAGGACAGCAGCTGGTTCAGAGGACCCAGATTTATATGGGACCACAACGGCAGCTGGCCGTCCAATCCGTATCAAGATGATCATACCGATGAAAAACTTCCTGCGGACCTCTTTTACCATCAGGTCGAACTCGAACCAGTGATCAACATTCAAGACTATTCTCGCTGGAAGCAATTGTTGCGCAGAACAACCACGGTGTTGAGAGCAGCACAGAACTTTCGCAGTAATACGGGCAAAGCACAGTTCATCACTGGTCCACTCTCAGCCAAGGACCTTCAGCAACCCGCCAGCTACCTGTATCGGCTAACTCAAGCAGAGGGCTTCTGCAAGACGCTGTCAAAGTCGAGTCCGATCTACACATTCAACCCGTTCCTGGATAAGCAAAAGGTACTGCGGATGTATAGCAGAATTAGCGCATGTTAATATGCGTCCACGTATATCAGCACATTACCTGGTTGATCAGAAAGGATCATCACGAGCCCTATCATCACCCGAAATATACGACCGTCGTGAACGAGTTGCGGCAAACCTTCCGAGTCCCGAAAATCAGGCGGTTGTTCCAACGGGTCAGAGCAGTTGTCAGGAATGCAAAAACCAACGGGTTGCTCCACGTCCACCCCATTCTCGTTTATTGGCATTGAAAGCAATCCTCAGGAGGTCCTCTGTTAGTGGTGGT